CTTAGTGTTTCTCTCTTTAGTGGCTGGCAGCTTCAAATTGGAGGCATTTAGGTCCATGGAAGAGAGAATTCCAAGTGGCCTCTTCATAGGGAATTTGGCTCAAAGTGGTAAGGCGACAATCTGATATTGGAGTTCAGGGACTAGCCTTGCAGTGGCTTGTTTCCTTTCTCCAAGACCGGGGACAGAGAGTGGCACTGGGGGATCAGCTATCCCGAAGGCACCCACCGGAATGTGGAGTTCCCCAAGGGCCAGTCCTGTCCCCGATGCTTTTCAACATCTATATGCGCCCTCTTGCCCAGGTTGCCTGGAGGCATGGGCTGGGTTGTCACCAATATGCGGATGACACCCAGCTCTAGCTGTTGTTGGACGGCCGGTCTGAATCCAAACTGGAAGATCTAGGTCCGGCGCTGCAAGCCATGGTTGGTTGGCTTAGGCTGAGCCGGATGAAATTGTATCCGACAAAGATGGAGGTCCTGTGCCTGAGTCGGAGCGGTCCAGGGGTAGGGATCCCGCTCCCGACCTTCGATGGGGCGCCACTCATCCCAGCGTCGGAGTTTAGGAGTCCGGGAGTGCTCCTGGATGCCTCCTTAACAATGGAGGCCCAGGTCTCAGCTACTGCCAAGTCGGCCTTCTTCCATCTTCGGCTGATTAGGCAGTTGGTCCCCTTCCTTGAACGCATTGACCTGGCAACAGTGATCCATGCAATGGTCACCTCAAGATTGGATTACTGTAATGCCCTCTACATGGGGCTGCCCTTGTCGCAATACGCTGTGGCCAGGCTGTTGATGGGAATACCGATTTGGGACCACATCCAACCTGTGCTAAGGACGCTGCACTGGCTTCCTATAGCATACCGGGTCTGCTTCAAGGTGCTCGTTTTGACCTTTAAAGCCCTTTATGGACAGGGTCCTGCATACCTAAGGGACCGTCTTTCCCCATATGTACCCCAAAGGACACTGTGATCGGGGACCCAAAACCGGCTGGATCCCCCAAGCTTCAAGGAGGCCAGACTGGTGGCAACTAGGGCCAGGTCTTTTTCGCTGGCAGCTCCACTCTGGTGGAATGAGCTCCCAGAAGAAACTAGGGCCCTGTGGGACCTTTCACAGTTCCGTAGGGCCTGTAAAACGGAGCTCTTTCAACAGGCTTTTGGAGTCGCCACCACTAACACCTCCACCGCCAATAATTAATATCTACTCTGGCGGAGCCCTGGCTCACAAGGTCCCTCAAACACAGCCGGTGCCAACTACCTGAGACAGCCGCAGAAGGCCGAAGAGTCAATTGGGATAATGAGGAATGTTGAAAGTACTTTATTTTGTTTGAATTTTAATATTAATATTATATCTATTAATGTATGTGATTTTACTATGATGTTTTACGTGAATTTTATTTGTTATTTTATTTATTTATTTGGGATTTGTATCCCGCCCTACCCAAATGGCTCAGGGCGGCTGACAAGCGGCAATACCGAATAAAAACAATAAAAAAATGTTATATACATAATAAAATTCGGTGCTCTACTATTCTACATTAAATCCCCCAAGATATGCGACATCCCACATTGACGGCCAGTTTTATTAAATGGCGTGAGTGCCAGGAGTGATATTTTTCCCATCTCTGCCAGGGCAGCATCTATCCCCCCCAGTAATAGGGGTCGATGGTAAGATGGTATCTCAGTGGTGGAATAGTGGCGGCTCCTACTCAAAAGCCTGCCCGCCGGAAGAGCTCCGGCTTACAGGGCCTGCGGAACTGTATAAGGTCCCGCAGGGCCCGGATCTCCTCCGGGAGCTCGTTCCACCAGGTAGGAGCCACCACCGAAAATGCCCTAGCCTTAGTTTGCGCAAGCTTCACATCTCGGGGGCCTGGGACTTCCAGGAGGTGGAGACTCCCCGATCATAGTGCTTTTGTTTTGAAATAGTGCTCTTATTGTTATTATTATTTTATTGTTTTAAAATAGTGCTCTTATTTTACTTGTTTGTAAGCCGCCCTGAGCCGGCCTTGGCCGGAAGGGCAGGATAAAAATTTAATAAATAAATAAAATAAATAAATAAATCTCCAGACCAGGTTTTACCCAGCTAAAGGCTGCAAGGTAGGGACTACCTGCAGTCCTTCAGGTACAATTGCCAGGTCTCCCACTATGGCAAGAGACCTCCTGTCACCAACACCAGTTGCCAGCCTGTGGGAGAAGGAAAAATTGACAACAGTGCAAAAACCCAGAAGTGACATCACTCTGCTCTGGGAATCACTGGAAACTCTGTGGTTTTACCATACAGCACCACCAGACTGCCACTGGATGGAAACCCTACTGTTTCCAGTGAAGCTGCTGTGCCTCTGAAGTGGGGGTTCATGGGCACCTTATTGTCAGCCAGGCCAATCAGTTGTGCCAATAAATGTGTTAAATCCCATTAAGCTCTTTGTTGACTTCAAAAGTGAGGATGGGCATAAAAATAATGTTTTTGGAGGAAATATTCTTGCGTCTCTTTCGTGCTGCCGGGCACAGCCATTCTCTTGACCTGACAGACTGGACCATCAATAAAGAGGCAAATTAATTCTGCCAAGGAAAAGATTCTGCTTATCTTTTCAGTTCTCAATTTTCTATAAAATTGTGGGTTACTAACTGTACCCTTTGAGCGTGATAGGTGACTGGAGGCGGAGGGTCTTCAGTAGTATTGTTCAAAGTCCCTGAAATGTGCTACACTTGATCTTAGCTTAGGGGCTAATGGGGAGTGTTGGGTACGTGGGGCTACCAGTGCCAATTGGTGGGAGTGAAGGAGAATGGCAGAGTTCTGGAATGCAATTGCTACAGTTATCGCTAAAGGTATAAGGAAAGAGTTGCCATTATCCCCTAAGGTTCTTTTGTTAAATCATGTAGAATTCCCTCCTAAAGATGTTTGTGAATTTGTTCTTAATGCCATAACATCTGCAAGGCTAATTTTTTTGCATAGAATTGGAAGAGCATAATCCCGAAGAAAGTGGCTTCGTTAGAGAAATTAGTAGAATGTATTCATCTGTGTAAACTAACCCGTCTACTACATGGGCAAATGTCTGATAAATTTGGGAAACGGAAAGCTTTCCTGTCTAGAATGAGCAATTAATTTCGAGCTGATGTTTCATAATAGCTTTGTAGTTCGTATTTCAGAACTTTGTATGAGTTTTATTTCTATATTTTTAAATCGAAAATAAACTTTAAAAACAAAGTCTCTGAAATGTGATGGGGGCTGGGGGATCATCTCAGCCAAGGAACAGCAAAGGTGCAGTAATGCTATAATGTATATAGTAATGCTATAATGACGGGCACCATAATGAGGTGCTTAAGCAGGCCTATGAAAAGCCCAGTAGTGGAACTGTTTCCCTTCTCAAACAGCACTACAGTGAGTTAGTGGCACTAAATGTTAAAGAGAAGCAAGCTACCAGCAGCACTTTTCGCCTTAAGAGCTGCTCTCTCCCGGCCTTGTCCTTGAGAAGGGCTGAGAGAAGACTGGCATATGCTACGTTTTAGCAAGGTCACCTTGGTAATCAACAGCACAGTGCTCTTCTGGGCTCTTCAGACTCAGTCACATTTCATCCAAGATGGTTTTGCCACAGAGCAGAGACTGCTTGCAAGAGTGGGGATTAATTTGCTCCCCTCCCCCCCAAAAAAACTGTCCATTGTGAATTTTGATGTTGGATATTATCATATTATTCGGAATTTGGAATGTTTGCTGAATACTCGCTGGCAGTTAAATATTTATAGAAGACAACTGACAGGTTAATTCCATGGTTTGATATTTTATTTGATATCAAAGATTGAAGCCAGATAAATGCATTTGATATTCAGTTTTTCTGTTTTATTTCCACCTGTGATGTCTGATGGAGTTTGACAGGTAACAAAAAGTGAGTACTTTGCATGTCTCAGTGGGTGACCTCCCTTGCAGGATTGTTGTGACGATAAAACAAGGAGGGAAGAACCTGTATTGCTGGCCTCCAGACTGCCAGCCCTGTTGTTACTACTATTAAATAAATAAATAAGAACCATATGCAAAACATTACCAGGCAATTCTATGAGATGTGGGAACTCACAATCATAGATCTGCCATCACAAAGCCTCTTTAGCAGGGGTGTCAAACATGCGACCCAGGGGCCGGATCAGGCCCCTGGAGGGCTTCTATCAGGCCCGCAGTGGAACTGGCTGTCTTCTGCTTCTTCTTCCAGTTCTGCTGCTGCTGTGTCATCATAGGTTTGCAGCTTACAGATACACACCTGAACAGCATACTCAAGATTGCAACAACACAGACATTTGATGCAATAATTCAGAGCAAGAGGTGACAGTTATCAGACACTGTTAAATAAACAAAATATTGCAAGAGTGCTAATGTTTGAAGCATATTTTTTATTTTAAGTTAAAAAAAACCTTTGTGTTTGTGTCCTTTATAAAGTTTATATCTCCGCTACCTGGCATTACATTTTATGACACACAAGGGCTGATTTCACACTAGAGCTGCCTTGCTGTTTTGCTGCCGTTTGCCCCGGTTCTATTGGTCAATTTCACACCCGAAGCCGCGTGGCTGATTTTGACCTGCGGCTTCACCCGATTTCCTCCGCAGTTTCGTTGATTTTCAAAAAACAGGATCACGAAACTGCGGGGGAAATCGGGCGAAGCCACGGGTCAAAATCAGCCGCACGGCTTCGGGTGTGAAATTGATCAATAGAACTGGGGCAAACAGCGGCACAACAGTGAGGCAGCTCTAGTGCGAAATCAGCCAAGGTCTCATTTTTGCCAAATCCAGCCCTCGTAACAAATGAGTTCGACACTCCTGCTCTATAACATGTTGATTTCTTACTTGATTAGAAGGTTATAAACTTAGGTTTACATCCCACCAAATATCTCAGTATTACTCATGCAACTCTCTAAGCACAGAAATAGTGATTCTTAATCCGTTTGATGTGGCCAGAACAGGAAATGCTAGAGGAAATGAATTATAAACATTCTCTTTCTCTCTCTGTCTCTCTGTCTCTCTCTCTAGCTGCATCACCCTTCACAAGGATTTCGCTTTGGAACTGTGCGAGAAAGCAGCGCTGAAGATTATTTCAAGCAAAGCTTTCCAGATATGCATGAGTACATGAAGAGGTACAATGTGCCTGCAACTCCAGATGGAGTGGCGTACCTGAAGTAAGTGTGCACTATCCCATATGACTTCCACTGGGTAGGGCTGGAGCCCCAGAGCTCTTGAGAGCCAATATATATCCTAATTAATCAGAATTCCTATCTCGTATGTTACTAAAATGCCTGCCATTATGATGGATGGAGAAACAAGAAGATGAGGATTTGCATATTATGGGAATCTTAGCACATGGGGGAAAATATTGCCCCTGCAGAATCACTGTCAAGAGGTGTTGGGCCCCCACTGAATATTTCAGTACTTTCATTCCCCACACACACACACATAAACATATTCCCCCTTTGAGATATATCAATATCCAAGGCAGTTTACAGAGTAACATTGGGCTAGATCCAAACTAGATTTTCCACTAATGGAAGGGGAGAGGTCATTTCTACCAGTTCCTGCTTCCTGCTGCGAACTTCCAGTTTGCCCTTCATACCATTCCCATGGGTCCCTTATCCCTCAGAAGCATCATTTCAGGGAGATCAATGGGCTTCAGTGGGAAGAGGGAGGCAAGGAAGTTGTGCTGATGGAATTGTCTTCCATAAGCAGAACATTTAGCCTGGATACAACCCATAATCCCCAAGGAGCTTAGTCTAGAATATAAATTTAGACATGGGGAGAGCAAGAACAGAGGAAGGAAATTAAGAGCCATGGACCATGCTATTTGCAACCATTTCCTCCTTCCCACTGCAACCTACACACCTTGGACCCCTTTGCTGTTCCTGAGGGTCCTACCCATGAATAAAATTTGAAGTCAGTAGGACTTAGAAATCCTTAAGTTTGGCCGCACTGAGCTGAGTATTCTTAGCTTTTTGAGAGATAGATCAATACAATCTTAGTTTATTCATTTGCCTGTGAATGGTTTTCGTGTGTATGTGTTGCAGCTAGGATGAATTTTTTAACAGTTACAAGGCACATTGATTTCAATTCAGATGGGGGGAAATGGCCTTTAAAACCATCAGATAAATACAGCAATTAGTTATGTGGTGGAATGGGCCTGCTCTGGCCTGCAGACCCTGCTCCACCCTGCCCTCCAAGGTTTCCCCAGCACTTAGAGAGGCCTTTCCTTTCTCTCAGGTAACCTGTCACCACTACCTGACCTTTGTAGGAATTGCCTGCTGGGAGGGTCAGAACACTTAGCTTCCCTTCCAAGTTCTGAGGCCTTGCCTTGGTGTCTCATGCTGCCCAGTGCCTGGTCTCCACGGGGACTGTTTACTGCCTTGTGCACCCCTAGAGGAATAGCCACTTGCCAACTGCCTGCCTTCCCCCTGGTGCTCTTTTTAAAATTCTGTGTCCATGATGGTGGAGGTCTATGTGGTACAGAGAATGACTACCAGCATCAAATGTTATTAAAAAGAAAATGTTTACAGGCATAATTTTAGTACAGCACTAGGCTGAGCAAGGGATGCAAAAGAAAGGGGTAAAACACTACAAATGCCCTATCAGATGTTAAAATATAGGACAGGCTCCTTAGTTTAGGATGTTATAGATCTCTACAGAGTTACCATTATCTTTACCTTGAAGCTAGCTTCAGCTCTTCAGGCCTCCACATTGCTAATGGCCGCCTCCTCCAGACCTCCGTTAAGAATTCTGTCTGCTCTGATGGACTCAGCACCAAAAATACCTTCCTCCTTGCTCTTCTGAGTGTTCTCGCCTGTCTTTTCTCCACCCACTGACCTAGTCAGGCCAGGTCAAAAGGATTTTCCTGAACTTACCAGAAATTTCCTTACCGAAGTCCTCCAAATCTCTGTTCCCTGCTTGGAGGGGGTGAACTGCACCCTCCTATTGTCTCTAGTAAGACCTATTAGCATTTCATAAGAAGTAGTAGACGTGAGCCTGGAAAGCTATTGACTGACTTCCTCCTCCCTGCCTATTTGGTGTAGTGGTTAAGTGTGCGGACTCTAATCTGGGAGAACCGGGTTTGATTCCCCACTCCACTTTTACCTGCTGATGTGACCTTGGGTCAGTCACAAGCTCTGGCACAGCTGTCCTCGAAAAAGAGCAGTTTGTGTCAGAGTTCTCTCAGCCCCACCCACCTCACAGGGTGTCTGTTGTGGGGTGGGAAAGGGAAAGGAGTTTGTAAGCCGCTTTGAGACACCTTTAGGTAGTGAAGGGTGGGGTATAAATCCAATCTCTTCTTCTTCTTCTTCTTCTTCTTCTTCTTCTTCTCTGCCGGGGGGGGGGAATTAAACTCAGAGTGAAGGTTTTGCTCATTTCAAACCTCCAAAGGAAAAATGCATTTCTTCACAAGTTATTATGCTCTCTGACATTATTCTTCTACTCTATTTATTGTTTGGATTGGCCAATTGGAGTGCTGGTGGCAATCAAAGATTCAGGGATCCCTTTAGAAAGGTGCCATGATCACAGAACAGGCTATATTCACATGCACAGTACATACTTAGCAGTGAATCCTACAATCTGGCCTCTGCACTGCCAGCAGCTTCACAGAAGTCCCACTGACAGACTGTGTGAAGCCTTTGTGTTTGTTATGGCCCCAGGCAGCATGAATTGACTGATCCTTGAATCTTCTCATGCAAATGTTGGATCAGCTATAGGGACATAAAAATGACCTTTCATAACATGCTGTTCATAACATGCAACAAGAACAAAAACAATGAGAATGTGTATATTCATGGGAAAGGTACAAGTAGTATTCCCCTAGCTGTAGTATGGAACGCCAAACTGGCTCCAAATAAGAAGAGAAGTTCCACCTTAATTGAAGTTATCCTTTAAAATTCAGAGAAGCCACCAGAAACCGAGCACATAACTCTGAAACTGAAATCCTTTGTGCCAACTCGCAAGAAACAAAGGTGTTGTGCTATATTGTGCTATGGAATGGTCTGTGCTCTATGACTCTCCTAAAAGAATCCTTGGAAATGTATTTTTCGGGCATTTATTCAGCCGAATGCAGATTAGACAATCTGATTCAGCTACCGATATAGCTGGCCTGAATAAAAGCCAATAGTATTCAGCCTTGATTCGGGCCAGCTAAATTGCTGAGTCATATGGCACAACTTGGAGAAGGCATTCCCTTCACTCATGGAGGTGTGCTGCAACAGTGGCATGACTCCACGAGTGAAGGGAAGGCATTCTTATATGCCAAATAAATTCAGGTTTCCTGATTATTTACCTGAATCCCAATCTCATGCCAATAGTGGGATTTGGGAATATCAGGAAATACTGACATTTTTCAGGTCCAATGGACCTGAATCCAAAAAAGCCATTTTTTTCATGCACACATTTACTCCTTACAGTAATATAGCTATCTCCAAGGAACTGCTCTCTGCGAGTATGCAAATGATAGAGAAAACTACTGCCTTTGTGCCCTGCGTATAACAAATGTATAAGGTTATCCAGCTTGCTTTGATTGACAGCTGTTCTCCAGGGTGTGAAGCAGAAATCTTTCCTATTCTGCTCCCCCAATGTCTTGTGTAACTGATGAAACCAGAGGTGGAGTGTGGATGTTCTCAACAGAAAGCTCTACTACGACAGCTATCCCAAGCACACTTCCTGGGGAGTAAGCCCCGCTAAGCTAAATGGGGCTTAATTTTGAGTAAACATGGCCCTTCCCTCAAAGACTGTAAAGTTCCCAGAAGCATCTAACTGGATGCACTGGAAACCAAATGCTGGATTAAGTAGCTATTTGGTCTGATCCTACCAAGCGATTCTTATATCCCACACTGCGTCAATCCTTTATTTGCATGACACGCTCGTGTTTACTGACATAAATTAGATTTCTGTTTGATTTTGTGCTCTGTTGGTAGCAAAAGCTTCCTGAGGACTAGGTCAAATACATTCAGAGTTTCCATCTGGAAACAATACAGATTCTGTACAAATTAGTACAGCCGCATCGCTTCTTGTTCATTTTCCAAGGGGAGTTGTTTGACTTTGTACTTTGATTTCAGGCACGACCCAGAGAAACTCGATGCCTTCATCATGGATAAAGCACTCCTGGATTACGAAGTATCAATAGATGCAGACTGCAAACTCTTGACTGTTGGGAAACCATTTGCTATTGAAGGTACGAGTAAGCTCCTGCACGCAATTCCGTGTCTCAGCAAGCCTTTCTTGTGGATCTCATTTGCCTTTATAATCAGTTGCTGCTCAAGGAATCACACCCCATGTTACACTTGAAAATAATTTATTTTTACTTCAGAATGCTGATAAATAGGCAATGAATCATAGACTCACAGAGATGGAAGGGGCCATACAGGCCATCTCGTAGTCCAACCCCCTGCTCAATGCAGGATCAGCCTAGAACATCCCTGACAAGCGTTTGTCCAGCTGCTGCTTCAAGACTGCCAGGGAGGGGGAGCTCACCACCTCCCTGGGCAGCTGATCCCACTGTTGCACAACTCTGACTGTAAAAAAGTTTTTCCTAATATCCAGCCGGTACCTTCCCACCCTTAACTTAAACCCATTATGGCAAGTCCTATCCAATGTTCCCTCTAAGCTGAGTTAGTGTGAGCCAGGTCACAGTTTTTTAGCCTCTGGCTCACACATTTTTGTCCTGGCTCAGGAAGGATGGCTCCAGAGCAAGCTAATTTATGCAGCAGCCAAATCGCACACTCACAGCTTTACTGCCAGTAGCTCACAAAGTAGAATTTTTGCTCACAAGACTCCACCGCTTAGGGGGAACATTGGCTCTGCTGCCAATAGGGTTCCCAAGTACTTACCACGATCCGGCGGGGGAAAACATGCTCCCCAGCCGGACCATACCTCCCTGTAAAGCACCATGCCGTTGCCAGGAAGTGACGCTGGGCGACGCTCTGGCAATGGGGATGAAAACTCAATCGTACCATTGAGTTTCCAGCCCCATTGCCAGAGTGTGGCCGGCGTCACTTCCTGGCGATGGCATGGTGCGGCGCGTCTGTTGTCCCTGCGAGAATGATCCTGCAAAGACGTCTGTGTCCCCCGCCGAATCACGGTAAGTACTTGGGAAGCCTGGCTGCCAACAGGAACTGCTCCCTGCCCTCCTTGAAATCTCTGTCCCTTCTGCATTTTGTTATAGAATAACTTAACACAGACGCATGTCCCACAGGGGGTGACAATGGTTTGCATATTCATTCTCCACCCTGAAAACCAGGCTTTGGGGGACCCCTGGCAAGATGACTTCCAATGGCCCTCTGTGGCCATTCCAGATGGCTGTGTCAGTATTGCTCACGTGTGTGAAAATAAACACGCTCGTCCTGAAGGAGTGGAGCACCGTGATTTCCCCTGGACTTAAATGCCTATGGAGGAGTCACCCTTTTTTGCTCCCTCTTCCAGACCCTGCAGAGCACAGAGAGAGACTGACAGATGTGTGAGCCAGTGAGCAGTAGCTCCTACTCTCCTGTGCTCTGTTGAGCCATGCACTCATTCATTCACCCGGGTGAGCGGGGCCGCTTCTCAAGTTTGAGAGCGCTTCTAGGGCCCCCTCCCAGCCCTCCACACATGCCCTCCTTCCCTTCCCCCCACCCACAGGCCTTCCACCTGCCTGCGTATCTTTCTCTTGCCCACGCGTGAGCCTTCCCACTGCCCATGGTGACTGCTGCCCAGTCACACTGGGCAGTGAGTGTAGCTGGGAGCATGGTGGAATGCTAGCAAATAGGTGAGTAGGGGGCCAACAGCAGTAGGCCCTGCCAGAAGCCCTGGGCCCTGACAGCTGCCCCACCTCGGGGTATCCTGACACCAGCCCTGCAGGTGAGCATGCAGCGGCAAGGAGGTGCAGATGCAGACATTTCTGCTCCTGCTACATGCTCACCTGGTCCTTTCCCTCTAGGCAGCAGCAGCAGGAGCAATATGATATCAGATCCCTTTGGCATGCACAGTGTCGTCCAGTTGGGGGAGAAAGAGGAGGAACTCTACATTCATCAAAAGAGGCAGGAGGGAACCAACCGTCCTGCCATTGCTACCCTTTGGAGAGAGAGAGAGAGAGAGAGAGAGAGAGCAGGAGGCAGTGTTTGCAGCCTCTTCTACATATACGCAGGACAGAGGTCAGATGTCCCTTTTTTCTTATTGCCCCCACTATCAGGAGCAATCTATCAGTGCTCTACACTCACTGACCTCTCTGGCAGACCAGGCACATTTCAGATCTGGACAAATGAAGCTGAGAAGAGTCAAGTGGTTATATGTCTGACTTAAGCACTCGTTTTAGAGATTCCAAAAGAGAGTGCCAGTTTGATGTAGTGGTTAAGAGTGGCGGATTCTCATCTGGAGAGCTGGGGTTTGATTCCCCACTTCTCCACATGAAGCCAACTGGGTGACCTTGGATCAGTCACAGTTCTCTCAGAGCTGTTCTCTCAAGAACAGTTCTCTCAGAGCTCTCTCAGCCCCACCTACCTCACAGGGTGTCTGTTGTGGGGAGAGGAAGGGAAAGGAGTTTGTAAGCCACTCTGAGACTCTGAGTGAAGGGCAGGGTATAAATCCAACTCTTCTTCTTCTTCTTCTTCTGCATTGTAACTATGGTTGCCTGCCCTGGGTTGGGAAATACCTGGGAATTTGGAGGGTGGATCTGGGAGAGGGCGGGGTTTGGGGAGGGGAGAGACCTCAGCAGGGTTACAGTGCCATAGAGTCCACCCTCCAAAGCAGCCATTTTCTCCAGGGGAACCAAGCTCTGTTGTCTGGAGATCAGCTGTAATAGCGGGAGAGCTCCAGGCCCCACCTGCAGGTTGGCAACCCTAATTGTGACCCAACCTTACAGGAGGAGATGTCATATAGAACTCTCCTTTCCCAACGGCACCTTTCTCATATTGCCACATCACTTCATATTGCAGGTTCTGTGTCTTTGCTCCCATGTTTGATCTACAGCTTTAAATATCAACTTTGACTTCACTGTTGACTTTGCTGCTTTTACTTTGCTGTTGAATTTAAGCACAGCCGCACATTAGTGTTTGCACAGCAATGGAAGTCAAAGGACGTTCCTGAAATAAATGAGTGGTTAGATAAGATAAAGGAGGTTTCTCTTTTGATGAAATTGACTGTACAGGATTACCATGTACAGGAGACACCACTGCCACCATGTACAGGTCTTTGCCCACCCAAGCCAGTCCAGGAATGGGAGGGAATCCTGTACTTTTCAGTACATTAAACAACAAACCACAAGGTGGTCTATACCTCCTCTCTGGTTTTCAGAACAATATGCCACCAGAACCTCTTTTCACTAGTCCCTGCCTTTCCTAAGGGAGAGTTTCCAAACCCTTAGTTGGCATCTGGGACAAAACACATTAGCAACTCAATATAGAGATGCACACTCTTACCAAGGTAGCATGTGTGGGGAGCGTTAAGCCACAAGATTTAGACTTAGAATTCAGGTACAACATCAGAAACCATTTAACAATCAGAAGGATCTTTATTCAGTACAGAGATTAGCATAGACTACCAAAGATTACAAAGTAACAAAGGTTAGGGCTGTTTGCCTTAACTACACATTAAAGATATTCCTAGTTACCAGTGAAGTGTCCATATTCCAAGAGTGTCCAAGGTATACAGTCCAATTAGACACCAAGGGATTTTGAAGAGAAATCCCATCCTTACACCTATGTGCTCCAGTTCACAAAGCAGTTCTTTGTCTTCCAAGACACAGCATTTCCAGGTGCAATAAACAGACAATGACAAGAAGGGAGAGCTGAGAGCAGAGCGCTCCCTCTCATAGGAATCAATCAATTATACCCCAATTCCATTCATGATCAGCCGTGGCCATCAGCCAATCACGAGCAGACAGGAGATGTGCCCAATTGTTGGTTGTCATAGCTGCGTGTGGGGATAGGCTAGAAGTTTGGAGACCACGCCTGCAGTCACATGACACAAACTCCAGCTTCCCCATTGCCTACGTGACTTGTTGCATGTGGGCTAGAGCCAGGAGCCATCAGGTCTGGCTCTTCCACTTACAGGTGTGAAAGAATGTGTGGTTATATGGCATGGCTATTGAGGTAGTTCAGGCCATTTGGTCTGCCCTGGACCATTTGGCCTGCAACAGGAAACAGAGACAGCATGGTATCAAAAGACATCACAGAAGAAGGCATGTGGATATAGAAGCAGAAAGCAATTTTTCTATACACTGACATAAATGAAATTTTTGAAGAGTTAAGGTCCAGGTGGTTAAGATTGGCATCCAGGTTGAAATTGCTGAATTAGAGTAAATTTTTGTGGGTTTTGTATGTTTGCCAGTTGTGTTTCTAATTTATGAGTAAGTAATAAAGCTTTCCCCATGCCATTTTCCCAACTTGGAATGCCCTGAAGAACCACTGAGTGCTTCTCCAGGAAAAGCTACATGTAGCTCCTCAGTACATGTCAGTTCCCCACCAGGCAAATAATGGCTTCCTGGGCCATTTCAGGTTGGACAAACAGCACTTGGAAAGGAAGACTTGATCACCCTTTCCACATGTGCCACAGTCCTGACCCAAACGGGGGCTGAACACATCCCAGGAATTAAATTCCAAGCATGGACCTCCCAGCGCACATCCAATTGATAGGACCCATAGCAGATACCAGAGGCAACAAGGACTTTATAATGTGTAAATTACCCCAAGTAGTGCACAATGTGTTCATCAAGTGGCTGTAACTGTTAACTTGCAGGGAAGGGAGACTTAAGCATGTTTTATCTTCCCATGGATCTCCTGCTCATCACAGAACAGCTGCCTATCAAGTACATTCTGCCACGTTTGGATAGGCAGTTATGGGAAGATGGAAGGGGGATGGATTCTGCATCTCTGTACACATGTTCTTTCTGTGGTTGCCAAATCCAGATTCACAACGGTTCTTCAGCCTGCCCTACTTTGGGCAGATCAGATTTCCTGTCTCTTCTCGACAAGAGTTGGACTTTTAACTTTCTATAACCAGGCTAGCCATTTCCTCTCGATGCGTGCACTTCGCTGATTACAACGGGCAAGGCCCTAGAGCAGGCCAACTCAGCTGGCTAAATATAGCTTCCTGTGTACGTACATATAAACACCACAAGTTTCCCTCGTTTCTGAGTTGTGTAACACGGCACCGGGGCTGCCGACCTCCTGCCACTTTCCGGCATGGTGCTTGCAAAACAGA